ACCAAAAAGAAAAAAAAAGAACAACACAAAAAAAACTCGGACAGAAACCCCCAAAAACCCAAAAAGCAAGAAAACCTAATTTAAAACAAAATAAATAAAAACCGAAACGAAACAAATCTCAATGATACCACCCAAAAAGCTGTGAACTACCAGCACATGTTTTCCCTGTTAGAATCCTTTATTTAGAATAATATCTCTAGGCAATATTCAGCTTTGTGGGACCCAGTCCCCGCATGGTGAAAGGCAGGAAATCTCTCATTGTAAATCTGTGTGCTATCCTGTTTTCTTCAACGATATCTCCATGCATGTTATAAACCGAGATGCCTTGTCTTAAAAAAAGACAGGCTATTGAAAACGCTCATACATATAACTTACGTCTCCAGAGTAACTGGGAAGCTGGGGAGGGGTAAGGAGCCAGATATTTGGAGAAAGAGAAACACAGAGAGAAAGAGAGAGAGAGAGAGAGAGAGAGAGAGAGAGAGAGAGAGAGGGGGGGGGACACAGACAGAAAAACATATACAGGGAAACTTTGGGAAAAGGGAAGAAGGAAAATACATAGAAAGGGAGATTAAAATGAAAGTTTAAAGTGTGAAAAGAATAAGGCAAAGAAAAGGAGATCGATAACTTAATACACATTGTTAAGACAGCTAGATAGATAGATAGATAGATAGATAGATAGATAGATAGATAGATAGATAGATAGACAAACAAACAGACAGACAGATAGACAAACAAACAGACAGACAGATATATAGATAGATAGATAGATAGATAGATAGATAGATAGATAGATAGATAGATAGATAAATAGATTGATGGATATATAGATAGACAGATTAGTAATTATGTTTTTATGTAATACAAAAACATTGTGATATAGCAATACAGTACAGAATTTCGCTTGCTGGAACTTGTCGGTTTCTTGCAACTCGATCCCTACATTAATTTACAAAAACTTTCTGGAAGCTAATCTCAAGGTTTGGACAATTCAAAGCAGATAATTACTAATATAGAAGTATTCCATCACTGTCGCCGCTGGCACTCCAAGAGTTAGTCTATGGAAACATATTCACACACGCACGCACATACATACATATACGTACATACACACATACATACATACGTACATACGTACATACATACATATATGCATACACACACAAACACACACATACACACACACACACACACACACACACGCGCGCGCGCGCACACATACATACATACATACATACA